CCACCCCAGCCTATTCTTAACTTACCTCTCTCCCTCTCTGCCGTGGTGGCGTGGGGCATGCCACCGCCCGAACTCATTCAATGCCCTTCAGAGCAGAAGCCAAGAAACACAGGCACACGCATGCACTCACACACACCCCTTAAGGGTGACCTGGGCAGACCAGAAGAGAGCCACTTCCTGCGCTGGCTCCCATAAATGCCTGCCTGAACGCGAGGGTTGGCCTGGGTGGGCGTCTTTGTATCTGGGGGTTTCCTTTGCCACGCAAACTGGACCAAGCACGAGGGGATGGGGGGGAAAAACAGATCTAATAGCTCCAACTCTGTTCAGGACAATAAAAAACAAGGAAACATTGAAATGATTAACGTAGCTCTCTACCGCCATCCTGGCCCTCCCTCCTTCCCGGCTCCCCAAGCATTCACCCCTCGCCTCTTCTTTTTCATACTCCCAGCTCCTGAATTATTCGAGTCCACAATCAGGCGGGAGCGTACAGTATAGACTCTCTCTGGGGCTGCCAAGAGCTTTGCAACAGGAAAGCGCGCGAGAGAGAGTTCTCACAATTGAACAGCGAGAAGAGCAAAGAGAAATTAACATCCAATTAGCGCCGTGTTTAACGAGGGAGACAGAGGCAGCCGTTGTTTTATTGCCCTGTTCTTTTCATTCGGATCTGACAGGCAGCAGGGAAGGCACCCCCAGTTGCAGTGACGTCATTTTTTTTTTTCCCCTTTTCCTCCTCCAAGTTTCTCAGAGGTGGATTGTCAAGTTGGCAGAGGAATTCAGTTACTTTGTTGCATTAAAAAACATCCTCCCCCCCCCAGAAAAAAAACAAAAGAAAAAGGCTTATTCCTTTGTTCTGGCAAAAATAAAATAGAAGGAAGATTTCTCGGTGGGCGCGTTTCTCTCTCTCTCTCTCTCGTTTTCCTCTTCTGAGACAGCTTTGCTCAGCTTGTAAAAGTTTGAGCCATGTGACACTCCACCCAGCCTTCTTTGGCAGCGTGACAAGAACCGCTTTGGTGTATCAAAGAGAACAGGCAGCTTTTAAGGAAGAAACTCAATTCAGAAAGATTAAAGAATTATGATGTTTTAATCAAGAGAGAGAGAGAGGTTCTTTGGGCGGGGGGGCAGGCCTAGGGGGTGCTTCTTCTTACATCTGGATCAACATGAGTGGCCTTCACAAAAGGCTGTCGGCGGCAGAATAGACTGCATAAGCATTGTGGGGGGGAGCGGCGAGGGGGAATTGAATCAGAAGTGGGAGAGACGTATTTAACAGTTTGAGGCTCATCATATTTCCCTCCTCCCCTCCAGGCCGCGGCAAAGAGGGGCGGGGGAGCGCTGCATTTGCAAGCCTTCGCAGTTGTCTGTGGACTCCTGCAGCACATCAGAAAATGCTCCCAGGACATTTTGCCTCCACAACGAGGCAGGAGCAGGGAAAACACAATCCCCATCACCGGGTACAGGTCTGGGGTGACTTCGCCATTCCCCTCCACCACATCCATGGCCCAGGGAGATGGAGCTGCCTTGGATTCTCTTCCATCTCCCAGCCACTGGCTTCCCCTCTACGGAGCAGCCTCATCTCCTGGTTTCACTGATGACAAAGACCTTTCACAGGGGCTGGTGCCCTGTTAGACCTTAAAGTCCTCAAAACACAGCACGTGGCCACCTGCGAGGCCGGCCTATTGAGGCTGCGCTCTGGCAGAAGAAGCAATGGGACTGGGTAAGCAAACACCTGGGCTGGAGTTACTTTTTTTCCCCCCAGGAGTTGCCCTCTAAAAACTAGCGTGGCGGCTCCGTTTCCTCCAACCGTTGTCTGAAAGACAGTAACCCTCTACAATGCCACCAGCTCCTGGTCTTGCGCACGTGCACCCAGTCTTCATTTAGTCCGGGCCTTCTTGACTAGGGGTCAGCGACCTTCCAGGAGCAGCGGGGTAGATTAACAGCTCGGTCCATAGGCAGAACCGGCTGCCACTGCCACTTCCTCTGCTGACTAATGCTGTGGCTGACTGTCACCGATTTCCCCTGCCTCCAAATCACCACCAATGTGCTTGTGACCCAGCTGCTGCTGCTGATACCCTCCACCACTGAACTGCCACTGACATCCTGGCTTTGCTAGCCAGATAAAATAGCTTGGCAAAGCATAGGTTCCTAACCCTTTTTTAGATGACTAGTCCCTTGAGTTGTTGCTCATGGCAGATCTCACTGTATTATATGACACTAGGCCCTGATCCCGCATGGGAGCTGTTGGAAGGTGAAGGTGCCCAGCAGCTTATAAAAGGGTGCCCGGAGTGGTGTGGAACCAGCCCCTTGGCTTGTAAGCACTGAGGTTTTCAGTGGAGAGCCCCAGTAGGGCAGGAGGCAGCCAGAGAGGTGACAACCAAGCCTCCTCTTATCACTGGACGTGATCAGGACCTAGCCAGCTGCCCTCGCACAGGATGGACATAGGAGGCACTAAGTCTTAGAGGCTGCAAACTAACACTTCAAGACTCTCTCAAAAGCCTCCCCAAACCATGCCAGGATCCTGAGGAAATTCAGATGCCAGCCTAACTCCGCAACGAGCAGTTAACTTGCCCTGCAGCACACTTGCCTCCGTCTTGCCAACATGCCACCAACACGTTACCCTACATCATGCTGCCATATTGGAGCCCACATACAGGTGTCTCTGGGGAGGCCTCTTCAAACTGTTCATTGACGCTTTACAATAATATTCCAAAGACGTAAACTGCAGCGCATCAAGGGTGTACGATACAGACCTGTGGAAAGCAGTTTGCCTGTTCTTAGCCTGGTGCCTTTGTGGATTTGAACACCAGCTGTCTGAGATGGCTGTGGTCACATTTTATTTATGAGATTTATATACTTCCCCCCCAACCCCTTTCCCCAAAAAAGCTCAGGGCATCTTACTATAAAAGAGAAAGTATCTTATAAAAGCAGGTAAAATATTAGATAAGATATAGAAGCAGATAGCAAGAATTCCCCAAGCAAACCTAACCTTGCTTGCTAAATACCTGCCCAAGCAGGAAAGTCTTTCAGCACTTCTGGAAGATGTCCGTGGTCGGGTCTGATGGCAGTTCCAGAGCAGAGGTGCTACTACCAAGAATGACCTCACAGATGCTTTTGCCAAATGAACCTGGCATACATGGCACTTGTGGGATGCTGTTCCTGACCTTAGGGGTTGAGATGAGACATAAGGAAGAAGACAGTCCCTTAGGTATGGAGGGCCCAGACCATTTAGAGCCTTACAGGTCACAATCAACACCTTGACTCAAGCCTGGAAAGCTACTGGGGAGCCAGTGCAGTCTCTGGAGCAGTGGAGTTATCTGCTCCCAGTGACCCATCCCTGTCAGAAGATGGGCCACCTCATTCTGCACCAGCTGGATAGTTACTGAGGGCAGCCCCAGATTGAGTGCATTGCAGTAATCTCATCTTGTGGTTATGAAAGCATGGATATGGTGGCAAGTCACTAGATGCAAGTTGGTGAGAGGTGCTCCTAGTCACTGCTGTCACTTGAAGATCCAGGTGTAGCAAAGGATCCAGGAGCACCTCAAGGCTGCAAACCTGAATGACAAGGAGAGGCTGAACCCTATCAATGATAAGTGTCCCCATTCCCTTTCCCCACCCATGTCATGAGGTCTGCCAACCACCATCACCTCCATCTTATCAAATGGATTCACTTGCATCCAATTCCCACCAGCAGAGAGGCACTGGGTAAGGACTGGAATTAGATGAGAAAGAGAGATAGAGCTGGGTGCCATCAGCATGCTGGGGGACCCCACAAGAAAGGTCCTGAGAGGACCCTCAGCCTTTGCGCATCACCACCATCTGGGACCTTCCTGCTAGGCCAGAGTGGAAGCCCGCAATCCCAGAAAGTGGCACAAGAAGCAAGGGGCAGCTCCCACTTTTATAAAGAAAATCATAGGGGTTCGGGTCACAAGCCAACGGGCCAAAGGAAGGGAACAGGAAAAAGGTAAAGAAACATCAGCACTGTGGTAACACACGCTCAGCACCTTAATTTCCCACCCCCACACACACCTCCACAGGAGTCCCCAAACAAGAGTTTAGCCCCTACAGTGCTCAAGTAGCAACCTGCAGCTGGCCCCAAGTCTTAGCCCAGCTCCTCCAGTCTACAGTCCTGGTCGACTGAGCCACTGAGATCTCCAGCTCCACTGCTCGCTCCTCTGTGCGGGGCTGACCAAGCTGCCTGTGCCTGCTGCTTTCTCTTCCCCTTACTCTAGCCTCAAGCTTCCTCTTCCTTTTTCCCTTGCCCCCCAACTCCTGGGGGTTTCTGGGAGTTGTAGTCCAAATTAACAGCTCATGGCTCTGTTCCACCTGCTATTATATGCATTACATTCACATTACAATCTAGTAAGAGTAGCAGGGCACAGTCTCCCCTGTTGATCTCCAAGCAAATATCATCGCCAGAGGCCAGTCCCTGTGCTATGCTCAGGACAAAATCAAGACTGACAGAGGTCCAGTAATCTAGTAACATTCAGATGCACCTGGGAGCCATTGGTTGACCACTTGTTCAATGACCTTCTGCAAAAAGGGGAGATTGGAGAAAGGACAACATCTGCAACCCTGCACTCCCAAAGAAAGGCACTGACAACTCCCACCAGCAATGGCACCAGTCTCCCCTGGCTGGGTTTTAAAAGCAGGATGGGCACAGAGCCATCTCCCCCCAAGCACATCCTCTGCATTAGTGAGTGACAACTGAAACCAGTCCCAAAAAAACGGATAAGACTGACCTTCCCCAAACTCAAACTCTGACTGCAGCTAAACTACCTGTCCTCAAGCTATCCTGGACACAGGGAAATTTTGTCTGCAAAGTAGGTGGCAGAATTGGACATGACTGTTTCCAGGCAGAGACAACCTGGGTTAACCAGGCCATGTGCTCTGACTACACACACTCTTGCAAATGAGGTTAGAACTCGGAAGACCCTAATTGGAAGAATAATTGTGTGCGATTCTGGCCACTTTGCCAGGATTGCCTTGACTTAAGTCAGCAGCTGAAGCAAGCTGAGGTAGATGCTAAACACTCTGGCCACCTCTCTCCCATTACTCAAACCATTTACTGCTCTATTTTCAGCTCTCCCCTTCACTCCTCTCTTTATTCTTACTCCAGGCTCTTGGTCTCCAAGCCCCAGCTACCCTGCCCACATCCAGCTGAGAATTATTCCCATCAGATACTGAATCACGACACCCTGACCTCCAGGATGAAGGGACCTGCCACCCCTCACTGAAACACAGCCATAGCTGCAAAAGGGACACAAGGCCTCATTCCATCCTCCCCATCTCTTCATTGGGGATTTTCTGTCCAGTGCTAGTGCCCTGAATGCTGCTAGCTTGTAACCCCTTTGGCATCCCCTTCCAGAGGAGCACAAGTCACTTTCAGGAGTTGCTGGAATCGTGTCCAGCAGAGCGAGTAGCCGCCCCTGATCTGCAGAGAGCTCTAGACCTGCCAGACAATGTCATTATTCTAGCAAATCCAGGGCTTCTGTCTCCGGTCCCTTTGAGCCTAAGGACATTTCCCCCCCTCACTGATAACTCAAACCCGTGCTGCCTTGGACCACTCCTTCCCGTTTCATCCCCTTCCCCAGAGCACACTGGCCCGAGTCTTATTACAGTGGAAGACAAACCCTCAGCCATCAGCTCTCACAAGCCAGTTGACCTGGCAAGGTGCTGCATCAAAATGCAGCCAAGTCTCCCAGGCAGGAACAATTAGCCTGGTGACTCCACACCCCCTTCCCTCCCCCCAGCAGCTCCTTCTGGCCTTGCCTATGTGCAGCTTGCTGCTGCTGAAGAACCAGAGCAAGGAAAGCAAACATCTTTATCAGCCTAGGGCAGGGCTGTCCAATATCTTGTCCCGTGGGTGACTGTGCTGGCATCCCCATGCCATACATAGGGTGCCTGGATCCCTACCTCTCCACGGTCATCTTCAACCCCCCAGGCCAGACCCCCCCCCGGGATGGGGGCAGAAGCAGAAGCCAGAAGAAGGGAGAGCTTGGACAGTGGTGGCAGCAGTAGCACCTGGCCTGGGAGCTGGTGGGCTGTTCAGGGGCCAGGTGAGGCCCGTGGGCCACCAATTTAATGGCCATGGTCTACTTTAGGGCATACTTTGTGGCCAACTCCCTGGGGACAGCAGTACCAACCCCATGGGACTGGGGGGGGGGAAATCAAGTGCTTCAACATGCACCCTCTTCCTTGTCGTTTCAGGTAGGCAGATTCCAGGATGCCGTCATAGCAAACAGACCCACACGGAGAGCTCTTCCTGCAGGGTCTCACCCAAGGCTGCCTGCAGGGGAGCACCCTCATGTGAGCAAATCTAAGGTTCTCTTGGCAGAAGTGGAGGCTGTTGTGGGGACCGAGACTCAGAAGTGGTTAAGAAGAAGCGGGGCTATGTGAGCATCACTGTCCCTCTAAATGGACAGGGAAGTAGTTAGCCCATAGCAAGAGGTCAGTTAACATGCTGTTATATTGTCTGTGGGACCCCGCCTCAACTTCCCTGCATTTCAAATGTCATAGTGTGCAGCAGTCTCCCATAGAGCGACACCTCAGTCGAGCAGAATCCCCAGTACTATGGGCCCGGCTCAGAGATGCTCACGGGAACATGCGGGTTTGCTGCACTCATTACAAACAATGACCTGCAACTTGACTACAGCAGCTCATGACCTCACATAATCACACCCATCCCTGCTGCAAAAGCACAGACCCCCTTGCGCTTGAGCTAACAGCATTGCAGTCAGTGGGTTGCAGTCTCCAATATACACACAGTCAGAACTGACTCCAGCGAGGGGGGCAGCAGTGCAGAGACACTGGCCAATTTGCAACAACCAACCCTTTCAGGTCAAGTGTGAGACTCAAAACAGCTCTCTATAAGGATCCATTTGTTAAAGGGGGGAAAGTTAACCTTGACCCAAGTTACACTTTCATGACCCCATCTGCAATCTCATCCACCAGGCCATTTTACAAACTTCTTCTTCCTGACAGCTGGGAGCTGATCAGCCCAAAGTCCTTTGGATAATCTCCCCTCAGCTCAAGGCATCCGATAACAGATGAATAGCAAGAGAAAGGGAGTGAACCACACCCTCCAGATTGCCATGTAAGAGGAGATAGAGTAAATATTTGAAGGCTGGCTCATTTCCTCACAAGATAGGAAAGAGACAGAAGCAAACCACCAAGGCATGGGTCCTTTCAGGTAACTCGTTTTCTGTGTTGAGGTCATAGTTCCATAGTTTCTAGGGTCGTAGGGGACCTGAACAGATCATCAAGTCCGACCCCCTGCCCTGGACAGGAATGAGCACTGGGATCATAATACCCCAGCCAGATAGCTATCCAACCTCCTCTTGAAGACCCCCAAGGGGGCTGAGGAACTCTGCTTTAAGACCTGTATAAAACAGAGATATCCCAATACTCTGGGGTAGCTCAGATCCCCCACTTTGGATAATGGCTGTGTCCCCAAGCAGTAGGTTAACCTATTTAGTTAACAAAAATCAAGTAAATAAAAATGGGTCTAATTAACCACAAGCTGCAGGGCTGCAGAACACTGGCTAGGAGTCCTGTGAGTAACAACGGTAGCACCATAAAACTTTTAACATTAACGGGTGTTAGTGAGGAACACAACAACGCATTTCAAATCAGAGACCGATTTCTTTTGCATTTAAGAGACGGTACCACAGAGGATTCAAGTAGCCATCCCATTTACTCTAGCAAATGGATTCAAATTTATCAATTTTATTTTGCTCAACCTCAACTCTCTATTATACATGTCCAATGGAGCAAGGCAATTGGTTGCAGAAAAGCTGAAAAGAAGAAAATCCGAGTTTACATCAGCAGTCACTCTTCTTTGGAAAAAGAGGGGATTGTCCTTAAATAAAGGACTGAGCAACTGGAAAGCTGGCAGAGTGGGGTTAAATAATAAATGAATGTATCACATTAAAGAAGCCCCAGGAGAAGCTGTTTTTTCACAGGTTTATTTCAGAGCACAGTTAAATCCACTTTGGAGATAACCTCTCACCGTTACAGAATACAAGCATGCATTTGTTGTCATTGTTAACATTAACCATTTCAAAGGGAAGATGGGGTGAAGGGCAAATAGGACCCCCAACATACTGGGAGCAAGGTCCTTGTTTGTAGCAGCTGCCACTGCCAAGGCCACAAAGCCTTCCCATTGCACATCTTTGGTCACACATAAAACTTACACTGTAGTCAGGTCTTGTAACAAGCCCATCTGCTCAAGAGAAGCCTTCATGTAATGACAGATCAGGATGGAGGCATCATGCATCGAAGATGCAGACTGTCCCAGTCATCTCATGAATCACTGCCAATTTCAAGAACCAAAGCCAACCGTGATGAAGCTTCCTCTGCTATCTTGGAAGCAAACCATGCAGGAAGTGCTGAGGGGCAGACCTCTCGCGCTTCAGTGCAACATTCCTAACTCACAACAATTGTTAGCGTGTTTGCTCGTGGTCCCAGAAAGCTCTTCTGGGCCCCATTAAAACAGGAAGATGGAACAATGCACATTTGGACCAGATGTAAAGGACTGCTCAGCAGAATAAGCAAGACAGAGACTGAAAAGGGGGAAACCTGCCCGTCCGTTGTCACAGCACAGAACATTGGGAAAACCTCCGTCTCGGGAGCTGCAGATAAACCCCACTCTGCAACCAGAGGGGAGCTCTGCTACACAAGGCCCCAGAACGCCACTACAGGCACCTTAGTGTTTGAAGTGCATAGAGACTTGGTGGACTTGATTGTCAAACATCCTCTCAATTCTTTGAGGCTTATTCCATTACTCTAGTTGGTACCTAAACAGACATTCCAAGTTGTGCCAGATTTGTTTTGTTGCCCATTAGCAAACTGAACTAATGTAAGCAATGCCATTCATCAGCACCACTGTAGTAAGGAGGTAAAGTTTCTCTCTAGTGTGCAAGTAGCAATGCTTGGCTTTGCCAGGAAGATACCACCAATTGCTGCCTGAGGTTGGTCTTGCTTGGCTTTGGGTCACCAGCATGACTGCAAAGCCAGTACAGTAGAAGCACATGTCAGACCAATGGTCCATCTAATCCAGTAACTAGCAGGCAATTACATGTCTAAAAAGTTTAATATCCAGCTGCAGTGAATTCCAGCAGTTATATTGTTAGTGCCCCCAATACAGAAAATTCCCAGAGTCAGACCATCTTTCTACACTCCTGCCTGCACAGCAGCGTTCTATATAATGGTGCATATCCCTGCTCTAAGTGCGAATACAAGCCCCATTGCTTCTATTGAGGGACTTCACTCATATCAATGTCAATGGCTACATCAATCTTGGCACTCCTCAACATCCCTTCACTTGATTTAATTAACTTACTCCCATCACAACACCCTCCCCCTCCCCACCGAAACATCTTGCTCCTTAGTGTTCACATGCCCTGACAGTGCGAATGTGGGCAATGGGACATTTTAAGCCACAGTGGAGCTGCAGCTTATGGCAGGCATTTGGCTGATGCAGTGTGCTCCAGAGGAAGTGGGACAGGAGATAAATTAGTGTTTACCTGGAAGCGGTCCATCAAAGGGAATCTGGTTTAAAAATGCTCTTCTCAGTCAGAGGCAGAGTACAGTTCAACTTCTCTGGCCCTGCTGATTCACCCTCGTGTCAAAACATAAAAAAAGATGCTTCAGCAGACCAGTCAGACAAGGGTTGTTCACCAAGGCAGAGGTTCAGGAATAAACTTTGTAGTGCTTTCCACTACCTTATTGCATCACTACTGGGCACCAAAGAAGGGTCAGGCTTGATGCGACCCACTCAGCAAGACAAACCCAGATGTTGCTGCTTTTCAATTTAGGCAACACATACTTGGATGACAAAGCAGCCTCTTGTCTCTACACTGGATCCCAGAGTTCCTCCAAGCTACTCCATTTAAATACCTGGGTTTTATCCACATTTAAACACTGTCCCTTCTGACTCAAGAACTACAGGCTGGGCCAGGGAGCCAAGACCCTTCTCTTCTCAATGGTAATGGTTGAATCAGCCATAGGGAAGGGAATCTGACCCGACTACACTTTAGAAGCTAGTTCTCAATGGGCCAATTCATTTCTGGTCTCGTCAGACAGGAGGAGGTTTGTTCTGGCACCTTGGACTTCAAATTTGAAAGAAAATATAGAGCTTTAAGGGTTTCCTTCTTTTTAAAAAAAAAAAAAAAAAAAAAAAGAGTCCATGTTTGTCCACTTCTCCCAGCCGAGGTCCTGAACTGAATGGAGGAGTTAGTCAATGGGGAAACTTGCTGCTGCAGACACTCTGCGGAAGAGCAGGCTGGAGCCTCGGAACAGCTGCCCCTACAGGAGAGCAAAGCAGAAGGTTTAGGGGGGGAAAAAAAAAGAGCCAGGGAGAAATGCAGTGATGTAGCCACCTGACCAGCTGCCCAGAAGCCTCAGTACTAGATGCCAACCATAGTGCCGTGCTCTGCAATCAGGAATAAGAAACCATGAGCGGAAGTCCTGTTCTTGTAGCAGAGATGGACTTGTACACACCAACTACAGCACCATCAGAGCGATCCCACAAAGCCAGAGATAAAGAAGGAGCCAAGTGTCAGCTTTTACCTACTAGGCTATAGACAAACATACCTTGCAACTGCTTTAAAAAAGCACCTCTAACTGCTGCTGCTCAGGCACAGGTGTCAGCTGTTAATGTATCACTACAAGAGGGCACAGACAAGTGAGCTAAATTACTGCAGCTTTAACCCCGTTTCATTTAGGGTTGAGTTTGCAACAGCTTTGCTATGCCTGCATAGCTCCAGAAGCATGCACACCTAAGTTACACAAATGGTCTGTATGGTATCACTTAACATTGCTACCAATTTAAACAGAACTACTGGTATTGTCTCTACCCCTTCCTCCCTGGCCAAGCAAATTCTAGTCAACAGGGGCAAGAGCAGCAGAAGCAGACATGAGCATACACATGCACATGTGTTCACCATGTACTTCAAATCCACAAAATGGGTACAGTCCTGGCATTCCTGCTATGCAACAACCTCATATGTAACAGTGACCCCATCCATGCCCCATTCTGGTCATGGATTTCCTTGCACCTCACAAGTGTGAGTCTGCAAGATTTGGTTTCCTTGTAGTTAACACCTAGCCCTTCCACAGATCTTCTATCCGAGGAGCTCAAAGCCTCACACCAGCCCCTTGGAAGCCAGATGAAGAATGCTTGAAACAGCTACTCAGATCTTTATGCAGCAGAAATTACCTTGTTTGGCCTGACTCAGGCAGGGCTGGGATCTCCCCTGCCACTAGAAACATCAAGCAATTTTGCTTTTACGTTTTAAGTGTGATCACTGCAGTTCAGTGATCTTCCAAAAGAGCTCTCCAGCAACCCAGTGCCTCCGAGCACCAAGCTGGGTACCGAGTCAATGCCGGCAGGAAGTGGAATCCTTCTGTCAAGGCCAGCACCATCTCCTGAAGCATGCATCTGTTCCTATCCTGTACTGAGTTCACCAAACCCTTCATAAACTGCAAGCTGGGAACTGAGTGCAAGCTGATCCTATATTGAAAGCTTTCAAAATTGCACTAGGAAAGCAAGCTCATGCCCTTGAGGTGATAAAGGGTCATAATGGTTTAGTGATGGAGGTACCACCCTGAGACTTGGGAGTCCTGGGTTCTTTTCAGCCTCCATCATAGGCTCCCCATGTGACCATGGACAAGCCTGTTAGGGCCAGTTCCAGCTCCATGATTAGCTGCCTAAGCATGAATCTATTTCAACCTACCGAGCCCCTAAAAACAAGTAATGGAAAACATGGCTGCATCCTCCTGCTCACTGGGTTGTGTGACTTAGCCTTAAGGCGAAGATGACAACAGGTTACAGAAACAGGCACACTGGTTTTTCTGCAGACTGCAGCAGGGTGGAACAAGATCACACTTAGGCACCAGAGCAGTAGAAAACACGCTAGCCCTTAGTTTCCCCATCTGTAAAATGGGAAAATCAACACTGTCCTACTTCATGGGAGCACAGTGAGGATATCTGAGGTGCTCAGATGCTGTGGAAGGGACACTGAAATATCACAGACTGGAAAAATTGAACAGGATAGACAAGACAGGCTGCTGGCACCTCAGGCCTTCTCAGATAATTCAGGGGAACCCTAACAGCCTCGACGTATTAGCTCTGCCAACTCCACACTGCCAGGGACATCCTCATCTACAGCACCTGGCCGCTAGCATGAGAAGTCAAGACGCCAGTGCCACCCTCACCTGAGCACTGAGGTGTCTCCAACAATGAATCCATGATGTAAACACAGGAGAGTAAGGAGGGAGGCCAGCACGTAACCTGTGGAGCGAAGAGCAACAATCAGGAAGGAGAATGTATAGAAGTCAGGTTAGACAGGGAGAATCAGACCTGAACGCAGTATTAGGTGTGAGCGAAACACTGTATTGTATTGTGACACTGTCAGCACCAAGCTAAAGGCCAAGTCACCAATAAATTATTTATAGCACAACCTACTGTGTAATTTAATCACAACTGAAGTGTACAGATATGGACAGTTACTTGGATACAATGACAACACAACACTATGAACCTCCATTATAAGCTCAGGAATCAGAGCAAGACATTCCAAAACATGCTCTTTCTAGGGAACTTTTCCCATCCCCCATTAAATTTCCCTAAAGCCTCAGGAGGTGGGGTGGATTGGGGGCTGAGAATGCAGGCTCAGTTGAAAAGCCTGTTCTCATGCCCCATCCTACTCACCACCCTTGTTCTGATTTTTTTCTATCCTCACTTACATCAGATCATCTTGTTGATGTTCTCTGTACCCCTTCTCTTTCCTGAGCTAGCATCCCCATGCCTTCTCTATAAATTTCCAAATCTAAGATCATAAGTTTCTTGTACTCTTTGAAACAAGAAATGCCTTTCACTTTACAAGGTGCCACGTAATTTCTGGTTCTATATGAAAAGGTTGCGATTATTACCGAAAAACTAATCAAGTGAGGAACCTTGCTATGAGTCTAAGAGAACACAAGACACTGGACCAAGACAGACATACCCACAATTGTTCACTGCCATGAGATCTCCCACTAGAAGGAAGGGATACGTCAGCATGCTCACGGCAATCTGAAAGCAAGAAGCACCAAACTGAGCCACTCCTGTCCACACATTAACTTGAAAAGCATCAAGAAAAACTTAAGGATGAGCAGAAATACGTCATGCAACAACAGCGCAGATTAGAAGCAACTGGCACACTTTAGAAGCATCTAGGAAGATTTGGGTGCTGTTAAAATATATATTAATAAGCAGTCCAGCAATTTTTAACCTCCTTCATGGAAAAGATTAATGTATCGCACCATTTCTTTAAACAGTGACTACCCCAAGTGATTTCTCCACAGAACAGCCTGGCTCCTTGCTTGTAGCCCCTCAAGAGCATGGCAGCAGAGCTGCGTTCTATATGTAGACACACACACACACTCCAATTAGATGTGTGTGAGGCCATTTTATTTTTATATTTGTGGCACAGTTGCAGAACAACCTCTCCCACAACAAGCCTGGCATTCGTACAGCCCTTTACTATAGCTTTCAAAGGACTTACTAACTTGGGTAAAACTTACTCCACTGCTCCCCACTAGCAAAGGGCAGGATGACAGATCACAGATCTGATTTTCAGGTGTAATGAACATGCCCTACTATGCTTGACACTTCTTCCAATAAATACATTAAAAATCAGGCCTTATGACTTGCCTAGGGTCAGGAAGATGGACAAACATGTACTCCACTGGAGTTTACATTAGTTTGGTACGCTGGTGTATATTAAACCAGGCTAGAAACAGGAAGACACACAGTTATCACAGGATAATAGGTTAATGAAGGGATGGATGAAGACAGACAAAACCTAAACTGGTGAAACTTACCCTAGTGCAGTCTTTCCCACTTCTTTTCAGGGGTCATTCCCCAACAGTTTAGGCTAATTTATCCCAACTCAGTGTGTGTGTAATTGGTTCATTTCCCTCCCAATGGTGTCATGCCAATTACACTGATGTAAACATGTCTTCCTGATCCATACCTTCAGAGACAAAGCCTCAAATAATTCCCCCAACTCTCACTCTTATGCTACAACAGGCCACTCTTATTACTGGGTTACTGACATCAATGAAAACCTGTAACATCTCATTGCCCAATATATAAAAAATACTAGCAATGTTCTATTTTGGACATTTGAGGAGATATTGTGATCTTAAAGTCTCAAGTGTGCTTATGCGGATCTGTAATGTTTGATGAAAGAGAACCCTGGTCCCAATCTTCAATCGTTTTGAATCAAGTGTGAGTCAACGGGATCTAGAATCGCTATGCATTTCTCAAGGTATAGTCCTTACACCAAAGACAACGCCTTTAGGAGCTTACCTCCAGTTACCCAGAAGTAGAAGGGCAGAACTACCCACGTATACAACACAACAGCAGCCATACACACGCACACGTGCATGCTTGCAGCCTCTCTTCCTGGGAACTGCAGTTCATGAGTTCTCATATCATAAAACTGAGGCTAGGAGAAGTGTAGTAACAATTGACCACCTACCCCCATCACAAACTTTGTGTAGCTCCGGATCACAGAGGCTTGGCTGAACTGCAAGGGAGAGGAAAGCATGAGGGGGTGAGGGGTGGGGGAAAAAAAAAAAAAAAAAAAA